TTCCCCAGCCAGGCTGGCTGGGGAATTCTGGGAGTTGAAGTCCACAGGTCTTAAAGTTGCCAAGGTTGAGAAACACTGCTGTAATATACAGTTGCTATACTGCCAAGAAAGATTCCAATGTCCCTTTGACATCATTTATCATCTAACAATTAAAGAATAGGAAGACTTGCTGAAGCCACCGGAAGTTAGACGTAAAATGTCAGGAATGTTAGATTGACTTCGCAGTTTTTAATATTTTGGCTTGCTTTTCTAAGCCTTTGCCAGAGGCTTCTGACAGAAAAAGATTAATGTTAATTAATTAAAACTTTGCCCTGATTACTACGGAATGCTTCAGAACAACCCACCAGTGAGACTGTGCTGTGATTTGCAGTACAAGAGAAGCCTTTGTCCAGTTTTATCAAATACCACATTTTTTATGAGCTGCTTGGCAGAAAAGCACAGCGGGTGTGCTAGAAATAGTCTATTCCATGTAAGGAAATAGCCTCAACAGAAGCATAGCGGCTGAGCGAAACAAGAACTTTCACTGAGGGTCTGGAAAGCGTACTTTGTGCAGTATAATCATCATTTTTTAAAAACAAAACCTTATCGTGAATTTCTATCAAGGAAGAGAGTTACTTAGCTCCTGTTTAAGAAAGTAACAGGGTTATTTGGTTATTATTATGGATGGATGCTGTTTCTTTCAGCCTCAGTTTCTAATTGGGTGGGCTGCGAGAGAATGGAATGATTTGTGTGATTTTGTAGAAACACCGTGCTTGCTTAGTCACTGAGCAATAGGGCTCATGTTCGCAGTAGCATCCTAAAATATATGTATCTCAGTAGTAATAGTGGTATTTGATAGTGTTTTCATAAGCACTTGCTTAGATTTTGTTCGGGTTTTTCCCCCTTTGAGTTGGAATGTCTAAGCTAGGCAATCAGACCTGCTTGGTTGTTGGGTGGGTGAGACCCAGACTGGAAAATTAAAAAACCAAGATCCTAGAAGAAGGCAGTAGCAGATCACTACTGTGGAAACTCTAGAAGTGTCAACGCAGCTACCAGGAGTTGAGTCCCTTCCCCCACCCCACTCCTATACCATGAAGCCCAGGGAAAGAAAACTTGAAGCAAGGGGCAAGTGCGTGACTGCTTTAGTTTTTAGTGAATAAATGTGCTCATTGCAGTGTAGGGCACAGATGAGCAAAGGATGCTCTAGTCCCTTTGATGATTGATTATGCTAGGATCTGTGCTTTCTTTTTTTTTTTTAATACACTTTATTAAATTTCAGTAAAGAATAAAATATAAGAAAATTATGAAGAAGAAAAGAATAAAAAGAGAAGAGATCAGAAAGGAAATACAAGAAAAGAAAAAGTAGGAAAAGAAAAAGAGATAATTTCCAACTTTAGTACAGGAATAGACATATGATACGTTCACCTCTTGCTCTAATGTTTAAAATGATAGGATCTGTGCTTTCCAGATATTAATTCTTGTCCCTTTGGGTACATTTTAGAAGGCTAGAGGAAAAAGAATATGTTAAAGAATCATTTTTCCTTATTTTCTCCCAATTCTACAGGAACAATGGCTTCATATTTTGAGGTTTAAGGTGAAATGTGTCCATAAAACATTCCAAAGTCCTTTTATTTTTGACATACACACATAACATGCCTCCTAGAAAAATTGCACTGCTGAAAGTCTGCATTTTTGTTCTCCATATTGTGGTACTGTGGTCTGGTGATGTCCTGTTGTCTCAGAAGGGATGCTAAGGGATTGTCTCTGAGCTGTAGCCCCCCCCCCCCCCCC